TTTAAAGTTATTTCTTCAAAATTATCATTGTTGTTTTCTAGCCTGAAACGGGGGGGTGCGGGCTTAGTTTTAGGCCTGAGGCCCATTTAACCTTCTGCAGAAGGTAGCTTAAAAGTCCGCGCGGAGTGCGGCTAAAGCTAGTTATTTGAATTTTAAAAAAAAACTCGGTTAATTTGCAGTATAAGCACCAAAAGTCCACGGTAATAAAAAATGTTCCATTATGGTGTGAAATTGCCTGATTATTTCGAAAATGACATTAAAAGTTTGCGCTCTATGACTATTTAGGAGTTATGGACAATATAAGTTCGACTTCTTTCGCGTCGCGTCGAGAGAACGGCTGCCATTTCTAACTTTGTTTACGTACGTTTGGGTTGTTTCTCTAGATTACTGCGCAATGAGCGAAGTTTGAATGCGTGATTCCAAAGCAGTAAAAATGAAAAAAAAAAAAACGAAAAATAAAATCGTGCCTGAAAGGATAAAAAAATGAAGTTTTCCTTCTTTTTTCAACAATTTTTTTTTTAAGTTGTGTCGTGAAAAAAATAGAAATTACGTACCTGAAAAAGGTAAAAAAATTGTTTTTTTTTTTAAGTGTTGACCCATGACATCATATTTATTTAGAAAAGCTTTCAATTATTTCTATAACAAATTTGAAACCAATTTAATAAAAAAAATAATTCATTATTAAATAAATCTTAAGTTCTACATAGAAACAATACTTAATTAGAAACAAGGAATTTATACCAATTAAATAAAAACTATTCATTTAAAAAAGCATCATTTAAAAAAAGAAAGCGCATTTTAAAATAACTTTCGCGAAAACTGCGCAGTATTCAAGATAAGTAAGAAGATACGCAAAGCAGTAAAAAGGCCGTTAACTAAGTAAGCTTCCGCGCATTACTTCTCGAGGCAAACGTATGTAAAGAACGCCACTAATGGCGGTCGGACAACGCGAAAGAGATCGAACTTGAATTGTCGATAAATCCTAAATGGCAATAGAGTGCAAAGTTTTATTGTCATTTTCGAAATAATCAGGCAATTTCACACCATAATGGAACATTTTCATTACCGTGGGCCTTTGGTGCTTATATTGCAAATTAACCATCTTGAGAGGAACTATAATAATAATGGGATGAATTTCAAAATCGCACTGAAAAATTACAAGTAATTTTTTGTTTTTGTATAATAAATATGGAGTGCAGATTTTTTTCTGGTCATTCTGAGAAAAAATAATGTATCTTATTATATCATACAATCCCCAATTCTTTAACAAAATTATTTTTTGATTTTTATTGAATTTTACTAAGATTCGAGAAAAAAATTTATATATACTTAAACTTGATATTGCATTTTTTTTTTTTTTTACTGGAACAACAACTTCAGGGATGTTTAGTTATATAAGTGTAACAAAAAAACAATTGACAAACACTCCCTCCAAATTTAAAATTTATAAATATATATATATATATATATATATATATATATATATATATATATATATATTATATTTTTTTTCGCAATCAATCAACACTATCACTTGATAAGACACCAGTAGTGTTGAAACAAAATGGTTATTTTTGTAGTGATTTTATAACATGCTTATGTTGTAATTTTTGAATAAATATTATTTGCTCTACTTTGTATTGAGCACTTTTTTAAAGATAGTGTTTTTGGCTATCGGAATTTTATCCCATCTATATCAATCCTGCATTCGTATATATATATATATATATATATTATATATATATATATATATATATATATATATATGTTTATAATATATATATATATATATATATATTATATATATATATATATATGGCCTAAATTATTTTAAGAATTTTTATTTTTTATACGTTCTTTTTATAGAAAAATATTTAAGTAAATTCTCTGTTTATAATAAACAGTATTAACAACATTTACCGGCCTAAATGTCCGAGAAATTTTCATAGAAAATATGCGTCCTCTTGTTTTATTATAAACAGAGCATTTACTTAAATATTTGTATCTACAAGAAGAACGTATATATATATATATATATATATATATTGTAAAATAGTAACTTTATTGTAACTTTATTGATTTATTCTTTGAATGACTATTTTACAATATTAATTAAGCTGCATTATTTATTCATTTGAAATTATCTTCGTTCTGTAGTAAAAAAAAATTATGAAATCTTCTTAGAGTTGGCTCTAATTATTGGACCAATGGTTCATGTCACATCAACGGAAAAAAGCACTTACAATAATAGAAATTTTGAATTACTACATTCCTACAATATTCAAAAATCTAGCTTTGCATTTCTGCACGTTCCAAAATGTTCTTGACTATTAATAACAGCACACTTTTTTAATAAAACATCTTTTGACAAGTAACACATTTATTTTCGTCTTGTAATTTTTTCCCAAAATTACTTGAAATTGAGGGCAAGAATAACATCTATGCCTGACGATGGTGAATGTTTTCACCGAAAGTACCTGCGAACAATATGTAGTCGTTTGAAGAAGTTGGCCACCCAAAAAGCCGAATGGGTGGTCCCAAACTTTCCGGAACACAGGTGGATTGAGGGGGTGGGACCCCAGCCATTATCTATATAAGCTTAGAAAGGCAGGAAAAAAAGGGGTCCAGTAGCGAGAAAAGTAGGTAGGTGAGCAAAGGAGTTGGTAACTGGCCAGTGGCCAGGGAGTGAGGAATCAGCAGTGACCGAAGCGACAAGGCAGTGAATTTAAGGGACCTTTGACGTGGCCGGAAATTAGTAAGATAGAAGGCCATTTCTCAAAGCTGAAGGAAGGATCCCACGGTTAAGTGAGAAATCGTATTGTTGTTAACTCCCAACCAGTGTCTTTAAAAACAATTGTCGCCATTATTTTTTGTTGAATGCGATCACGGCCAAGAAGACAAACCTGTGCACATAGTGAGTTGGGTGTATATGCAAATACAATCAACCTTGGATGTCATCAGAGGTGCAGATGAACGACGCCAGGAAAGTCGTCACATAGTAAGAATGGTATGTAAGAATGTGTTGTTCTGGTGTAAAAAATATTGTGGTATGTTCGTGTCAATGATTGTGGCTAGATAAGTTTAATTACAAGACAGAAGAATACCAGCCTTTCCCCTTATCTTACACTTTTGGCTTTGTTCCACATTTTTTTATACAATCAAATAACGCTCTTCGCTATGGTAACTCGTCCATTTGAATTTAAGCGCGGTATCACACTGGCGTCGAAATCTCATCAATTTACAGTCAAACTGGCTAGATGGCGCCGTAAGTTCTATGGTAACAATTTCTTACGGCGCCATGCTTTCCAGCCAATTTAATTCGATAGTGAAAGTGTGGGACTGAGATACCAACCTAGTAGCACGTTTAAATTCATGCAGTTGCGGTACCAGTAAATGTAGTTTGTCAGCGCAGTTGCCATGAAAATATTTGTAGAAAAGACAGAGGGAAGCCACAGCACGTCTGTGAGAAAGTGACTGTAGACGAGATGCCAGATCAGGACCTCTGATATTGCATATCCGTCTCTGGATTTTGTCTAGGACCTCGAGATGAACAGCGGGAGCACCAGACCATATATGGTAACAGCATTCAATGCAAGGACGAAGGGTAGATGTGTAGATTTGTAGATTTGAAAGATGGACTCAGGTGAGAAAAACTTTACTTGCTGTAGATGAAGCTGTTGAAAAGAATATCGATATTTGGCTCAGTGATTGTGGCTAGCTAAGTTTAAATATAAGTCAGAAGAAGACCATCCTTTACCCCTTCCTCCTTTTGGCCTTGTGTCACATTTTTGTAAATTTTACAAAATAAATATTGCTCTTCGCTATGGTACCTAGACTTTATGAATTTAAGCGCAGTACTATGTTGGCAACAAGGTTTCATCACTGGACTGGCGTCGAGGTTTCATCAATTTACAGTTGATTTAGTTAGATGTAACCGTAAGTTTTATTCGAACAGTTTCTTTTCTCGCACTTCTTGCTTGTGGAACTCTCTTCCGGCTCCATGCTTTTCAGCCAACTTTAATCTTCAAAAATTTAGATGCAATGTCAATCGCTATCTATTGTCTTCCTGATTCCTCTTTTTCTGTTCTCGCTCCTTAATAGCGTTTGTTTTCTGGCACGTCCACGCCTATTAACATCTTGCGTCTTAGTGGCTTTACTGCCTTGTTTGGGGTGGACTCGATTTAAAAAAAAATCAAATTACAATAAAATTTGTATTTTTATATAAATCCTACCCCATGAAAAGTGAGATGTAGTAGAGAGGTGGGCGCCGGTATTATAGAATCGACGTGGGGTGAGGTGTTGTGGTGTTGGCGGGATGGGACCCTTGCACCGGCCTGTACATCTGACTCACTGTAAGTCAAAAGTATTTGACTCACGTGTTCTTCAGATCTATTACAAAATTCCAAATTATTTTTTTATGCATGAATCTTAAAGCCACGATGTTTTCTGTGTCGTCTTTTGTTTCCGTTTATGTACCCAGTTTAGTTTATTTTTGAGTATTTGCAATTTTTGTTTGGTTCACGTGAGTATTTAATTGGTTTTTCCCGGCCTTTTATTTTTATGTGTCTCAATTTATTTAGTTTTATTTTCAGTTTTTTTTCTTTCTTTTCTTTTTTTTTTTTTTGGCTTACGGCTACAACACGTTGAAATACATCACGTTGAAGCATATCACGTTGAAACACATAACGTTTAAACACATCACGTTGAAACACATCACCGAAGTTAAGCAAAGTTGAGCCAAAGTCAGAACCTACTTTTAATTAAGACTTTTTCTTTCCTTTTTTTTTTTTTTTTTTTGCTTCAAGACTAATTTTAGCGCCATATTTCAGTGCGAACTTCAAATTTGCAATCATTATTAGTCGGGTACAGGAACGAAAATTTCGGAAATTTCAGTACGATCACCGAACTTAAGCAACGTCCAGCCTGTCCAGTACCTTGACGGGTGACAGCTTGGGAATAACATGTGCTGTAAGCGTGTATGTGCGATTAGTATAAAGGACTTACGGCCATATCACGTTAAAACATCGGTTCCTATACAATCACCGAAGTCAAGCAACATCAAGCCTGGTCAGTACCTAAATGGGTGACTGCTTGAGAATACCCGGTACTGTAAGTTTGGATGTGTGGATGGTGTAATGGATAACAGTTCAGAATTATTAATCAGAGAGCCGAGTTTCAATTCCAGTTGGGTTCGTTATATTCCCTTACGAGCAAATAACCATTTCTCCCAGCCAACTATAGGTTACTTAGTAAAACTTGTATCGCTAAAATCATTATTATCTGCCACCCCACGCAATTCTTAAAATCTTTCTGGCTTTAAATAACCTACGAAGGGTTGATAAGTCGTAGAAAACAAATAAATCAATCAAATACTGATTAGCTACTCAGAAATGTCTGTTAGATTTATTTACATTCTCTGGAATCTAAATATATAAAAACTACGTTGGCCACAGAGTGAGGGATCAGTTAATATATCGATTGTAATATAGAACTGATCCCCCACTTTATATATACACTTTAATTTCTTGTTTGTTTATCAAATTCTGACTAGGTATGAATCCAGGTCCTCTAAGCCGCTGTGGGTTAATTAGTAAGATTTGTATCACTAAAAGAGTATTATGTCCCCTCAAAAAAAATGTTACATTCTAAAAATATTTTCTGGCTTTAAATAACCTGCAAAGAGTTGATTGGCTGTAAAAAACGAATCATTCAATCTACCTACTTTTTCTTACTGTGATGAGCGGACAGAGTAAGGAATGAAGAAGTCTGAAAGAAATGGTAAAATCATTTCAATTCCTCAGCCCTATCTGTCAGAAAAATCGAAATGGTCCTCAAATAAAGGTCTTTTTTCTTTCTGTTATAAGATCGGTTGATATACCGTAAAACAAACCAAACAAAATCTATTCTAAATCTAAACAAAAAAAAAGTTAATACCATTGGTAAAATCACGGAAGGAGTTGCGTTTTATTTTTATAGTAGGGAATTTAAGTTTTGCTATCAAGGTTTTTACGATCTAAGTCAAATTTCCAATAATTTTAATGATCAACACTTGCTAATATTTTGATAACGTCATATTGTGGAAAGGTTCCTTAAACAGTAATCTGGGTAAAAAAAAAAAAAAATAATAGGAGTAGATAGGTTTGCCTATCCCCCGGTTTACATTCTCCCTGATCTTTTGAACAGAAGTAGAGGTTTTCCGTTGTTCCCTGTTTATGATTAGGTTTCTGATTCTTTCATAAAGTGTTTTCATTTTCTTTCACTCTTAGTAACAGCTTGCATCTCAGTGGCTTTATTGCCTTGCTTAGGGTGAAAGATTTAAAAAATAATAATATTAGAAAAATATTATTAGTGTGTCGTTTCGTTTCGTTTGTCTTGTTTGGGTTTTTTATTTTGTTTGGGTTATTTAATGCCGACAAATTTTTTATTGCAGGTAATTTTTTTTTTTTTTTCAAAAATTCATTGCTGGTAATATTTTTTCAAAGATGTATTGCTGGTAATAATGTATTGCTGGTAATAATTTTTCCTTCAAAAATTTATAGTTGGTAATAATCTTTTACAAACAAGTATTTCTGGTATTAAAACCTATTCTTACATTTTCACGGTGCTTTGAGGTTAACTATTTATCCATAGTTGGGACCCTAACATGTTTGGTTTGTTTTACGGTATATCAACCGATCTTAGAACAGAGAGAAAAAAGAAGAAAGATCCTTATTTGAGGACCATTTCGATTTTTCTGCCAGATAGGGCTGAGGAATTGGAATGATTTTACCATTTTCTTTCAGACTTCTTCATTCCTTACTCTCTCCGTTCATCACGAAAAGAAAAAAAATAGATAGATTGAGTGATTCGTTTTTACAAAGTCTTCCCGGGTCAGGGTGGATCTGGAAACACCTGCAATTAAGGGGTGCTTCCATGCTCCTCAAAGCCTCCTGATCAGAGGCCTTGCTGCCGGGCGTAGTTTATCGTCTCACCCAGGACGCAGATGCAGTTTATCGTCATACCCATGAGGCATTAGTGTGTAGTTCTTTTTCTTCTTATAATTAAACAATAAAAAATCTCCAATATGGTTATATTCAAACAGTAACCTATCTGGGTAAATGAATAACAAGGTGTGAAAAGCTAAACAAGAGTCATCCAAGTAAACCAACGTTTCTTAAACAGTGTATCCCGATGCATTAATACGACTTGAAAAGTGACCAGGTGCACCCATGGGGAAATAAAATGAAACAAATAAATAAGATAATAACAAAAAATTTTTAAAAAAAAACGAAAAAGAATTTCATTTTCTCATGAAGCAAATAATAAAAAAACAGAAAAGTGCTTTTGGTCACTTGTTCATTTGACGGAAAGAACAATTTTCTCAGACCCCATTTCCGGAAAGAACAATTTTCTCGTTCCAACTCAGCCAAAGCAACATTCGACCATTTCAACCACGTTGTCTTACTTAGCGCTATTCAAAAGAAAAATGGATTTGACATTGTTCCAACTCAACATAAAAAAGAAGAAACGGTCTGAGAATAAACACAAGTTTTTGTATGCTTCATTATTGTTTATCTTATACTTAATTCTGAACTCAAAAAGAAAAGGGACATACCCAATAGACATTGATAACTTTCTTTCATTACAGTCAACATAAAAAGAAGAAACAGTCTGTAGAAGAAACACAAGTTTTTGTATGCTTCTTTGTTTATCATATCTGTACACACACCTAAAATAACACACAAGTATCCAACCTGTTAACTTCCATAGCAGTATGGAGTCACAGGTTTAGCACAAAATATATTCAGTTTTTACTGTTTTCGTGGCAAATAGACTTTTTAGGAGAAATAGCTGCTAGCTCGATGCCCAAACGATTCATATCTCCGAATTGTCTTTTGCGTAACGTAATCAAGTGACCACCCCAAAAATTCAATCTCTCATATAATTAACAGGCATATATCAATATTTGCTGCATCTACTTTGTCGGCTTGTGCCGTTACGCCCGACAAAACGATGAGACGATTCCTTCTCACTCCATGTAGAGTGTGGAAATTTAAATAAAACCAATAAATAAAATAATAATAAAGAATTAAAAAAAAAACGAAAAAAGTAATTAATTTTCCCATGATGTAATAATAAAGGGACCAGAAAGGGTTTTTTGGTCATCTACGCAATTTTATGACCACACTTCCGGAAAAAAGAATCTCTTTCTCCTTTACAACGACATCGTTCGGACGTGTTTTGGCAGCCCACTTCATGAAGTGATTTGGTCGTTCCAACTCAGCGCAAAGCTGACTTGAGCTGAATCATTCTTATCCTTGCTTACTTCTGAACTCAAAAAGAAAAGGTACATACTCAATAGACATTGATAACTTTCTTTCACTACAGTCAACATAAAAAAGAATAGACGGTCTGTAGAATAAACACAAGTGTTTGTATGCTTCTTTGTTTATTATATGTGAACACTCACCACACCTAAAAAGACACACAACCTGTTAACCTCCATACGCTCTAAGTCATTTAAGTAATTTATGAATTATTTTTATATTTAAAGATTCTTTATTTTTAAAAAGATAGACAGCAGGTACATGGGTTCCATGACTAGGTCGAGTTTTTGTCATTTGATATTTTAAACTGGATGCTAAATTCCTTAACAGAAGTGCTGGTCCCTATATCTGCTGGTCGTGACTTTCAAATCACGCACAAAGATGTGTCCATTGATCAATTTTGGATTTTCATTCAGGAAGAATATCCTTCAAGAGCGAGTAAAGCATTTGATACTTTATTGCAATTAATTCCTCTACAAATTCCGGTTTTCTGCCTTTACCAACATTAAATTCACATAATCATATTTTAAATATGCAATGTAATGTATTAAAAATGCTTATTTCAGAAGACTTCTTTATTTTCCTATTTTATCCACTGGGCTATGTGTCCTTGTGGAAAAGTAAAGCATTGGATATTTTATTGTTTTCTGTACTTGACATTAAATACAAAAATAGATCAAATATTAAATGAATTGATGAGGAAATGAGAGTATGTTTATCATATATCAGGCCTAATGAAAAAATTGCAAACCACCTGATGAGACATCTAAAATAGGTTTTCCTTTTTTTTTTTTTGACGTCGAAACAAAAATGTACAATTTTGTAGTGGATATGTGCATATTCTAGTGTAACACTGCGTAAGATAAATAAATATTTACGACTCTACTTTATGTATATATATATATATATATATATATATATATATATATATATATATATCATACTTATTATAAGACCTAGGTTGTGTGTGTGTGTCTGTTCGTTTATATATTGGATCGGATTTCCTACATTTTTCAACCGATTTCAACAAAACTTCACAGGACTACGTAAAATTACCTTGCGGTGGTTCTGACAGCACCAAAAATTGGAAAAACAATTGTTTTTGCATGAAATCAATTTGAAAACACGATTAAGAGGCATCCCCGTTGCCAGAATGAAAGGGGGACAACTCATATCGAGTTGTACTTATTATAAAAACCCAGGTTATTTGTGTGTGTGTTCGTTTATATATGGGGTCGGATTTCCTACGTTTTTCAACCGATTTCAACAAAACTTCACTTTTTTTTGGCAGGTAGTGTTTCTTATTGTCTTGCACACTTTTTTCTTTTTATTTTTACATTCAGAATGCTTTAAAAATTCCATTTACAAGACAAATAATAAAATTGAAAAAATCTATTCAATCAGGACTCATAACGATTGAAAACAATGTTTTGTTTGAGTTTGACCAATTCATAAAAAAAAAACGAAACAGAGCAGATAGTATTTGAATTCTTTAGCTGAAGTGTTATCACTTTTTTTTTTTATTACAGTTTTTTCATCAGAAATGAAATATATAAACTATATATGAAAAAAGGAGAGAAATAAGATGAAAAACTAAAAAAAGTTAATAATAAATGGCAATGATTAATTTGTATTTAAGAAATAGTTGAAATTTCTGGAAAATATGAGGAAAGAAGGCCTATAAATTTTAAAACACACAGGACATATTGAAGTCTAAAGAAGCAAAGGAATGGACGGCAAAAAAAGGACAAAGATGGATGAATCAAACTTTATTTAGAATAACAAAAGAAAAGATCCATGAACAGCC